TCTGGCCTAGGGAGAATTTTAAATAGGGACAATTTTAATTAGAATTTTAATGGTAACACAGCGGTAAATATTTGTTTTTAATTGGTTTTTATTGGGGATAGTGTTTGTATCGTTTTAATATGCTGTAAGCCGCCCTGAGTCCTGTTGGGAGAAGGGCGGCATATAAGTTTAATAAAATAAATAAAATAAATAAATAAATCTAATATAGCAATAAGGATAAACACAGCTTGATTATGAAAGAATAAATGTAATAAATTTGTACTGAAACAATCCAAATCATGGATTGTTTTGGTAACAAATTTGGGATGTAACCATGTGTAATCAAAATGGTATCTCCCACAACATGCATTGCATGTTATTGCATTCATTTTAAGTGACCAAATCTTTTAAATGAGGATCTGTGACGGTTTCTATTCAGACCATATACAACAGAATGAAGCCAACCAGTCTCATGTGCCTTCATTGGAACTTCTCTATCAAAATACACTTCTGAAACTGTGTTAGACTAAGTGGCCTTAATAAGTTGGCCCTATGAACTGCAGGAAAATAATGGCAGGGACTGTACATCTGTACTTCTAAACAGAGCCATGGGTCAGAACAAATTGAAAGATTTCTCTTACACTGAGAAATCAATAAACCAGCCATATGCCTCATACAAAACATCATATCTAAAATTTAGCTTAGTCTGAATATAGCGTTACTGAGGGAGTTTTTCTCAATATTTTCAACCAGTTTGTATCATTTTTTAGTTTGCCAGTGTTTATAGTTTTCTTTGTTGTCTTTCTGAATTATATTGTCACCTGTCTGGCCACATTCTTCCTGCAGCTTATGATCAAAGACCTGTCAATTATTGCAGCTTCAAAAACCATTATTACGAGTAAATTGATTGTGATTCATAAAAAATATTCCCATCGGTTGTATTTCTTCTGAGCTTGTGGGTTTGGAAATAAGATTCATTGTCACCAGCAATTTTTGGTAATGCACAATGAATATTTCTACGGAGTCTTGGTGCTCTCTGAACTTGATTATTTTCTTGCAGAGATTTCATTACCAAACTAGGTAACATCGTCAGTGCTAGAAGGAAGTAGAGTTTGCTCTCATTTTATATACTAATGGCTTGCCCTGCCAGCTCTACTAGCCTTCTCCCTGTTTGTCTTGCATAGTAGTTGTTACAGTGTTATAGTCCTTAACACTCTATGTTGTAGATGACTCTTGTTTTCTCTTATGGGGCTGCTGGATATTTTGGTTTACCTAGGAAGCTTTGGAGAGCTTTAGTTGGTTTGTGTGTTACGGTGATGCCATATAATTAGAAAACTAGCAGAACATATCCATGAATATCTACTGACAAGTAATCAGAAAACAGGATGAAAACCAGTGACTCAGACAAACAAGCTAACAATAAACAACAGCCTAATCAAGGAACCACCAAGATCACTTCTACCAGCACTGACAGGGCAAACCACTAGTATACAAAACCAGAGCAAACCGCATTCCCTTCTAACCCTGATTGTTATCCAGTTTGGTAATGAAATGTTTGCAAGAAAACAACAAAGGTTAGAGAGCATCAATGTCACATTTCAATCCCAACCTATAAATATTTGTTTCTATCAGAATTTTTCCATTTTTCATATTGTTTTGTTAAAGCTACACTTCTAAAATAGGAATTACTTGAGATATGAAATGGTGTTATCGTGATTGATTGAGCCACATACTGCAAAAATGACAATCTGTCTTTAAACTAGATCAGTTTCTTCATCTGCGCATAGTATAATTATTTCTCCCTTATTTTTGGCTGGCCACAATAAAAACATGGTTGATATTTACCTTGAATTGATCTGTCCTCGAAAATTGTGGTAAAAACTGAAATTGTGGCGACTGAAGACTTCAGCCCATGTTTTGTGAAAGGTGTCTCTTTTGCTTCGTAAGTAGTTCAGGAGGTCCCCATAGCAACAATATTCAAAAATTAAGTAAACTGGTCCTAAAAATACATGTTTAATATATCAGGAAGCATCTTTTACTTAATATATAGTTAGCGTGCATCATATTTCCTACATCCAAGACATTTCTTGGATGTAGGAAAAAGGAAATGAAAGTTGTTAGAAATTTTCATCTCAATCATATGAAAATGATATGCCTGTATCTTATACTTATTCCATGATACTATAAGTCTTTGAATTCCCATTGTAAGGCATGCTAGCTAGGAATTCTAGGAACTGTAGCAAAACATCGGTTTGACACCAGATTGAGGAAAGATGCAGTATTCTTACTTGTGGCAACTCTTTTCACTTTGAAGTAATACTTGAGAAGTTCTGATCAAGAACTTAAAAACTTTCTTAAGCTTAAGAAAATTCTCTGATTATACATCCAACTTATTTCATATAAGGATAAGGGATCTTCCTTGAGTCTGCTGTTCCTAAAAACCTCCAAATCCTGAAGACACAACTCTACAGGATTTTTCAGAGAGGTTATTTATTAATCTGTCACTTAATATGCTATCTGGAAGTATCAAGTAGTATAAAAATGTACAGTACATCATGATTGTGGCAGTTTTGAGTCTCAAAACTTTTCAAGCTGATGGGTATCCTTTAAACTTTGAAAGTATGCAATTATGTTCTCTCAAATGACTGTAATGGGAGGACTTCCCCATTTTCAAATGGTTAATATGGTGAATATTGCTCACCAGAAAAAAACAAATTTAACAGACGTCATATTGGTGTCGTTTCTTGTCATTCCTTCTAACTATCCAATATATTTTCTACAACTCTAGTTTACATTTGCATTTTACTTTCCCAGCTAGTTAGGCATACGTACTTACAAGCAATGTACTGGACATTTTATTTTCTCAAAATGTCTATGGGGTTTGTGATATCTAAAACCATTCTTGGAAATAAAAGTATGCTAAACACACAGATGCCCACGAGTGTCATGCCAAGGACCTCAAATATACTCAAATAATACTCTAACTGTGAGTACATTTCAGAAATATGTGGCTCACCTGACTTGGTGCATGCTCCTAGCAGATTTACAATGTTTTCATGACTTCCAATATGAATCATCATTTTGAGTTCAGACATTAGAGCATCTTTTTCCAAAGAGTCATATTTTTCTGTAAAGGTGACATGACAGATAGTAACTATGCAGAATTTTTACAAAGAAATATATACAGACTGAAACACATTAGAAATAATTTTATTAACAGAATTACTAACTCAATCAAATATTTCTCCTGAAGCAGGAAATGAAAGTGAACAAGTAAAAGATGGCTGTAGCTCTTAGAGAAGAGCCTTGTTTCCTGATTCAGTGATATCATGGGATAGTTCATTACTACTCAAAAGTAAAGGAAACATAAAGAAGAATAAGAAATACTGTAATATGTACCTACCCACACCTGCAGTGATTGGGAAATACCTTTTAAGGAAAGAAGAAAAGAGAACACTCATCCAAAAATAAAATGGAAAAAATGATCCAGAAAGAGTGTAGTGTAGTCAAGCATTCTTCATTTTTTTAAATTCTCATTCTCTCTCTTTCTGTCTCTCTCTGTATGTATGTGTACATGTGTCTTTCTTTGTCTGTCTCTGTCTTAAATGTATTTAGTAGAATAGAAAATCTTTCATTAGGATGCACATAAAAGACACTAAAAATAGAACAATATTATTTTAAAAGATAAAACATGCTACAGACTTGGAAAAGGATGTTTGTAGTCACTCATGAGCCCAGCAGTTCAATTTAGTTGTTGACAGGTGCAACTGTTGTATAAGCTCATTGCGCTAGGATTTGATGAAAACGTCTTTTTAGCAAAACACCAGGATGTATGATAAATTTAATACAAATTTATTTTTATGTTAAATAGTCTAATTCTCCCATCATACAGTATATAGTACTTCAGGTGCATCTTTATGGCATGGAACCAGTTGGCATCATTCTCTTCAGTGGATTTTTTTCCATTTCCAAAGCATATCAAAAGAATAAAATGATATGAAATTGCTTAAATAAAAAGATTTCTATAATTAGAATTCTTATAAAATTTTATTTTTTTAAATATAATTTTAATTAGATTAAAACTAGCCTTTTAAGTAAAAAGGACATTTAGAAACATGATGTAAAAAGACAATGTTCATTGAGATGGACACTTTTTTTATTTTTTTAAAAAAGCATTCAATAACTGAATATTGAAGAGCACACACCAAAGTCACAGAGTAAAAACAATTATAGACTATTAGGTCAACATATCTAATTACTGACCTGGACCAGAAATATATTGATTCACATTACTTTAGTGACTTTCAGGGAGAAAAATCTATGTAGTTGCTAAAAGTGAGCACTGACTGTATAGCACAAAATCAATCAGTCTAGTGAGTTAGAAGTTATCTATGCCAACATAAATATCATATTGGCCATATGTGTGCATCGCATTTATCCAAAAACTAAACCATGTTTTTAGTTAGTTCATGTGAACTAACTAAATTATAGTTTGACAATATGTGTTGGGTTAACACATAACGGACTAAAATATTGTTGACTAGATTGTAGTTCAATCTGTGGCATAGCGATAACAACTCTAATCTATTCCTCTTTGCTTTCAAACCTTGGAAAGGATTTATAACACACAAATATCAGAAAGCTAATCACCTAACCCATCTTTTAGGATGGACCGTAAATGCTAAAGTACGGATTCAAGGTCAGAAGACTCTATTGCCTCCAAGAACCATTCTCAAGAAATAGATGGCATCATACCTTGCCAGAAGAGGGAGCTGCTGGTCTTCTATTAGTTGTGCTTGAGGACCACCAGTAATAACGTTTACAAAGGGAATTGTCAAGCACAAGCAACCAGACCCATAAGGGTATAGAATCCAAGCTTACTACTTTAGTGATGGGAGAAAATCAGGTTGATACAAAGAGACCACGTTCTCCTTAAACTTTAGGCTACCTTTAAGCATTTTGACGGCAACTTGGATGGATGCTCCAGCTTCACTAATTCCATATGCAGTAGCGTTCACGACTTTCCCAAAGGCACCAGACCCCAGTACTTGCCCTATAAAAAAGAAAGTATTCTCCTTATTTTACAATTTGTGTTGGCTTATTTCATGATTAGCTTCAGGAGGAGTACCATGGACAGCTCACCAAATTTCAGATTTTCTCTGGGAAATTCCCACTTGACATCATACTCCAACTCACTGAAATTAATGTAGATGTATTCATTGTCGGAAGGACCAACCATTTGTATCATATGCAGTTGTCTTTCATATCTAAATTGCTAGAGGGAATGGGAAATTGTGAATGGTAAAAACGACACACAAAGGGAGACAGAAGTAAATAAAGAGTATCAATTTTGCTGTTACCTTTTTATAGTTTCGACAAGTTATTATGCACAACCCAACAATAATTGGAAAACAGACTCCAAATGTTGCATACAGCAAAACATTACCTGGAAAGCAAATGCAAAAATTCATGTAATTTGAAAAAGAGTTGAATTATGAAAGAGGGAAGTAAATATTTATTCTACTTGAATGAATGAATACTTTCTGACAATATTGACTGAAGAGTACCAAAGCTCCCTAGGGTAGAATTTGCAAACTTTTGAGATGCTACACGATCCTTATTAGACTTGCAAATATATATAACATATGCAGTACATTAATTTTTATATACCAAGCATTCATGTCTTGAAGAACATACCTCTGCCCACCAAATGAAAAGCTAAGAATTGTTCATAAAAAGTACAAAGAATGAAAGTAAGCATACAGTGGCCATACATAAGACTGATCTGTATCTTGGGTATCTCTGGAGAATGTGTTTTCTGTGAGCAAATATGTCAGCTAAAATATATTCATTGGAATTTTTTTCCAGTCTCAGGTCCCCATTGGTAAAATAGAAACGGTGTTCTTTCTTACTAACTGCAAATGGAAGCCACAAAATGATTACAAATGAAAAAGCAAACATCAAAATCCAAGCATCTGATTTCCATAGTACAGATTTGGAAGCAAAAGAATTTGGATGGGTTGAATTTCTTAAATTCAATCTTTTATTTTAAGTTTTGCCCAAAATTGTCTCAACATGCTACTTCTAAATTCTAAAATCCAATTATCTCCATAATATTTCACCATATTCTCAGTAGTATGAACTGTGTAATTATATAGTACCTTTTGGTTCAATAAAATAAGATTCACAAGAATAGCCAACTAAATTGTTTGCACAGCATTCAACGAAATGTCCAGTTTGTATATTCTTCGTATTTAAAGTGCTGCTTGAGATCCAGGATCCAAATATTGTTCCTTGACGTCTTTCATTTGAAATTCCATCTTTGATTTCAGTGCAACTGAAAAGAAGGAAAATCTTTTTACATTTTCTAATGCTCATGCAAACTATTAAAATTGAACATTACAAATAAAAAATAAGTGAGAACTTCTGGGGGGATCTGCAGAGGAAATTAGAAAAAAATCAAGATGGCAGCTCTGTGTAAAGCCCTGCCTCCCATTTGCATATATCACTGGATTGTGGCTGCAATCCTGACATTTTTGGCATTCTAATTTCCTCCCCCCCCCCCCCAGGAACTTCATATAATCATATACTTCAGCATTAGGTATTGAAAGAATGGTGTAAACTGTCAACTTTTTTCAGTTACAGCTTCTTTATATTTGGTAGATCTTCTTTAGAATGCATGTTAGATTACTGGCTCACAGAAAGGGAATGCTCAGATTCTATCTGATTACCCACCACATTTATGCTAGAAGTGATATAATATGTTAACCAATCTTAGGGCATATTCTGGACCTCACTAATGTTGTCTTTATAGATTGTTGTTAGGATATTCCATCTATCTGAGGGAAGACAATGAGAACGTCATCTTAATTTCTGCAGTCCATTGTTGATTGTCCATATCCTAAGAAACATTTTTGACTACATGCTTTAAAGCCATTACAAGCCATTATTTGGAAGATCAGAACTAAGAAATGAATCAGTTAACAGGTCCTTATCTTATCTGTAGTGGTGCAGTGGTTAGAATGCAGCATTGCTGGCAGGAGTTTGATCCTGACTCGTTGAAGGTTGATTCAGCCATCCATTCTTCCAAGGTCAGTAAAATAAGGACCAAGATTGCTGGGGGCAATATGCTGACTCTGTAAATTGCTTAGAGGGGACTGTAAAGCACTATTAAGAGGTATATAAGTTTAAGTGCTATTGCTATTTCTATTTGACAGTTTCTGGAACTGTAACTACTAGAATTGTAATTGATGAGATGGCCTGGAATAGGAAGATTGCAGGAATGGAACTGGGGTGATATAACCCTATTTGCAGCAGGAAGAATAAAATGAGCAGCTTCTGGATAATGGTATGGAACTCCTATTCTGTTAGCAAGAACTGTCTGTATGTGCTCACTTTCTCTGAAGTTTTCAGTTCAAGGTTTAGGGCAAAATGGAAACATTTCTGTAAAATTTATTAAGATAAATATTTTGAGCTCTGGCAGGTGCACTAGGAAGAAATTTATCATGGAACTCAGAATTCACTTGTCTGACCCAGTGAGGTCAATCAGAAGCTTTTATTCCTGTGGCATTTTATTTACAATTTTTTAAAAAAACAATTATGTCAGTACTATATGATCCATAACTATATCATAGTTAATTAATGGAGATCCACCACTCATATCAATGGAAACATTCGAAGTATTTTTTTATATTTACTTGATATGTTTTCTGTAACATTCCTTCCAGATCCACAATGGAGCAGGATTGCTTTCAGCAATGCAAGATAACTGATTAAATGTTGAGCTCATTTTTACTTTAGGCTTGCCTGCAAAGATAACAGCAAAAATGATAGATAGTTCAGTAATTCAATTTTGCAAACATTACACATATTCCCTATAACTTAAGTCTTTTTCTGTTTTAACTAATTCTGATTACAAACCCATTTGTCTAAAGGAATGGATCTTTATATGAATCACAAGATAATTGACTCCAAGGCAAGTATATTTAAAGCACAGAATAAAAGATATTACACAGCAATACTAGTCTTTATCATTGACCCAGACTCTTCTGTTTTAACCTCGTGTTGTCTTACTTTGACTTCCCTTACCAGCTGTCTATTACTTTGTTCAACTCACTACACCCGATACTGGATTTGGGCGTTAATCTGGTGAAACTAGATAATGCAGATACAGAGCAAAATGTCAGGGTCATAAATCTATAGCATCAATAATCAAATCAGTAATAAGCTAGTCGATCTAGCAATTGATACATTTAGCTACATTATATCCCTCTTAGTTATCTTTCCCAGCTTTTCCAACTTGATTTCCTCCAGATGTGGTGGTCCAATAGCTTCTTACTTTGAACAAGTGACTAATGACTGACAGTTCCAGAGTTTACCATGAGAACATTACGTTAGTAAAGGCTAGCTTGTCTTTTCAAACTTCCAGGCATTTGTCTTGCAGCACAACTGCATGAGATTCCTACACTGAAGATGCATGATACTCTACCATCATGTTTAGACTTTACACAAAAAAGTAGCTTTTAACTTTTGTTCCCACTACTGCAGTCAGTCAGTCTATCTAGTTAATTAGCTATGAACCCCCACCCTTGAAGCCTATATATCAGGGGTGTCAAACTCGCAATGTCATGTGATGTGTCACGATGTATTGCGACTTTTTCCCCCATTGCCGAGAATGGGGTGGGCGTGGTTTTGGTATGACGCATCCGGCTCGTGGGCTGGCAGTTTGATACCCCTGCTATATATCTTTGACTGGCAGAAAGAAACTTTTTTGTTAATTTAGGCAGGCGTTTCACTAATGTATGCTATACCTGGTTTTAAACATTTTTAATATTGTTTTTATTATGAACAGCACTTTGTTCATTTCCTACTTAGTCCCAACACATATTTTAAAAGTGACAAATTGGAGAAGATTTTTACACACAATTCAGTGGAAAACATGGGTAAAAATTAAACCTGTTAATAAATATAGCATGATACTAAGCATTGATGGATCTTGTTTCTTAAAACATACTCACTCTTCACATAGAGTCTTAATGTCCTCTTTACAAACACATCACTATTTTCTGCATAGAACAAATATTCGCCTGGTTGGTGTTTATGGTCACAGAAACTTGCAGAGATACTGTTTCATAAAGGAAGGTAGAAAGGGTCATTCAAGTGTAGACTCAAGTGTACTCTTTACTGAAAGGGTCTATGGCAGGGGTAGGCAACCTTGGCTCTTTTATGACTCGTGGACTTCAACTCCCAGAATTCCTGAGCCAGCCAAGCTGGCTCAGGAATTCTGGGAGTTGAAGTCCTCGAGTCATAAAAGAGCCAAGGTTGCCTACCCCTGGTCTATGGTGAGTTTTTAATCTACCCAGGTTACTCTCAAAGAATAAAAACCACCAAATAACATTGCAACCAAGCAATATTGTTCTCCCATGAAGGTTTGAGAAACAGAACCTTTGCTATGGCATCTGAAACTATGGAAGTAACTCATGCAAAAAAAAAAAAAGATTAAAATCTTTTCTTTTATATTAAAATAAGGAAAGGAAGCTTCCTAAACTCTACAAGTGGCCAATCACATAGACTTTTAGGAAATTAACCACAGATACAATATTACATTTGTATCTGGTCATGTATTTGACCTTTCCTCAAATACCATATACTAAAAAAAAAGTGTTGTTTTTTTTAAACTCTACAGAAACCTTCCAACATCTCAGTTCTGCTGATTTGATCTGAAGTAGGGCACAGATGGATTTTGTGGATTTGAAGATTACTAATATGCTGTTCCCTCCTATTATGAGTCCAGAAAAAAGTTCTGAAATTAAGAACACTCTTCCTCCTCTTCTGCAGGAAGAATCTCTCTTCACTAAAGGCTATTGACCATATAATCTACCATATTGCTGAAGTGCTGGTTGGTAGATAGTTGTTTTTTTAATTTTCTGGTCTGAGGCTCAGGGGGATAACTGGCCCAAACCTACCAGATCAACCTCTCTACCTAAGACTAGGAGTTGGGACTCCTATTCCTACTCTAACTACCCTATCACACTGGCTCTCAATATTTCTGATCAACAGTCCAGTCATTTATATAAACTAAGAACAGGATGGTTAGTTAGTTAGTTATGTATAGATAGATAGACAGACAGATAGATGATATAACCCTATTTTTAATCCTTTTAAAACTGAAATAGCACAAAAAGTTAAGATTTGAATCCATCAGGGACAGCTTTCATGTCCAGCTTTGATCTAGCAGGAGGAGGGACAGGTGAGAATCTGTATATCAGAATAAACTGAGTTTTAACATAGCAGAGGTTAAGAGCTTTCAACTCTTGGGTCAGATAAGGTCTTCCAGGTGTTTCAGTCCGAATCTTCAAACTTCCCCCCCCCCTCATTTATTCTGCTCCAGAGTTATTCCATGCACTACAAAGCTTGTACAAATTGCAAAGAACAGAAAAAGCCTGTTTTGTGGTCACTCATTTGGTATCCTCAATAAAGATACATCCACATTTCTACCTATATTTGGCTTTGACTGTCCTGTGGTGGGACGTAGCACAAAAGATTTGAAGGGAAGTAATAAAACCTCCTTAACAGAAGAAAAATTCTTACCTCCTATTTTGCAAAAACAAGATTACAAAAAGAGGTTTGAATCCTGCATTTGGCCTGCACCAGCCATCTAACGCTTCATAATGCAGATAAATGAATAGAGTGAAAGAACTTGCACTTTCTCTTTCACCTGGTCCCAAATTTACTACTGCTTGGGAAATCACAGATAAAAATACATATTGCTCAGACAGAAAATTCTTACTTCCACCTGTTAACTTCATCTCAAAAATGCAGATTGTATTTTAATTATTTTCCCTGCACTGTGCTGAACTCATGAACAGCAGAAGCAAATGATGCTGGCCTGGTGTAGAACGAGGAGCAAGAAAGAGCATGACAAATACTATAGATAAAGGAGATAAAGCGGGGCAGGCAGAAATCTCAGGATCAATATATTGACAGCTGGAAATACATGAATTGGACTCTTTCCTTCATTCTCCCTGTCGGGCATCAAGATAAGTCATCCAGACTAAGGTATACACACCAAACAACCGCTGATCTAAGAGTCTTTATTAGTTATTTACAGCATCACTGGAACAGCCTCAGAACCTCAACATTACATCTTGCCATTAAGTCTTGCTGCAAAGGACGATTCGCTCAGCATTATCCTGCTGTTGTCCATATTAGAAAACACTCAGCAGCCAGAAAACAAACATGAGAGTCAGAACAAGATGTTATTATGCTAGCACAGTGGCAGCTCTTTCAATTTCCACAGCAAGGGCTAGTTTCCACTATAGCTAGAAAAGAATCTAAATGGTTTTTAACATGTTCCTTGTGGGGAGGGTGTGTGTGAAAAGAAAGAACAGAAATTCAATGGGATTCTCAGCAGGGAAGTGTTACTTGCAGATTAGCAGTTTTCAAAGAAAAGGGGTATCTGTAGTGTCTCACCCCTTAAGGAACCTCTGATCATGAGTGATGGCAGGGAAGTAATAAAAAAGCCATGCACATTGGAGGAATCTCATCATATAAGGGTTTTTGTTTGTTTGTTTTCTTCCTGAGATTTTTCAGGTGTGTACCTAAGATTTACCCAAAATGAATGTGTTGGGACAACAATTTAGCTGCAGTTTCATCAAAATTCATGTTGGTGGGATTTCACTAGCAGTGAACAGAAATCCACAGGAAGATATTCTTGAAACCTACCAATGTTTAAGCAGAGGCTAAAGCTGGGGATCCAGATGCTTTCTTAACAATTATAATAAAAGGAAATAAGCAAATCACAATAACCATGTTTCCACCAAATGAGTCAAAATTTTCTTAATGATATTTTTCTTGAGAATCAAGTCATATTATGTGTGATATGGCATATATATATAAGCTTTTTATTGCTGCATACTTGGTAGCCATAGGCAACCAGAAATACTTGCAAGTGAGTTAGGAATACAACTCTCCATTCTTCTTTAGTACAAAGAAACAGGTGAGCTGCTCAAAAAAACCACACTTCTCCTTAATGATCATAGAAATGCGTTTCTCCATCTTCACCTAGCCTTCAGCAATCGTTCTGAGTTTATTTACAATGTTGTAAGTAGAAAACAAAAAAATAATATTTATGCATAGATTTCAGTTTCATAAGACTGATTCAGTCTGGAAAACTAAACCAACTTCTGCTGAAAAATAAAGGAAGATTTATTGTATCAACATCAATAAGTTTTGCTTTATGCTTGATTGAAGAAGTGAAAGCAAATAAAGAAGGAACAGGAAACCCAAAGGTACCAAGAATGTTTTGTGGAAAACTTTAGAGGAAGTAGTAGGTGGAGTGGAATCAAAATACTAAAAAAGAAAAGAGAAAAAAAATTTGCGAGGAATTTATTTATTTATTTATTTTCAAATATAGAAATTTTTCTCTTTGTATTATGCATTATTTTCCAAACCTTGCTCCTCTTTTCATCTGAGCAAAGAATGAGAACATTTGTTCACACATTTTTACTGGGATAGGCTCTTCAACTTTTTTTTGTTTTATTATAAATTTGCTAAAGTGGCTTCTACTCTCCAGTTGCTTTTTTTCTTTTTTTGCCCAAGAGACATCATTGCTCCCCTTTATCCCCTGGGGATTGCTGCTAATTTTGAACAGAGAAATAGGAGGTCTTTGCTGTGTCTCCTCTATTCTGCAGGAAAAGAGTCGAGGAATATTTAACACCGATCTTAAAGAAAATAAGACAAGAAAAATAGAGACAGACGCCAAAAGAATTTGGGAGGGACAAAAAAAGAAACTATTACGAGTAATCATACTAATGAGCCAGCAACGCCACACAGCAACTGTAACAACCTAAGGCTGCATTAATAAAATAAGGCATAGTTCCACCCAATTCTGTGCTAGCCAGGTCAGAGTTAGATTACAGTTCTGGGGGATTATTTGGAAACCAGATCCTATAAGGTTTGGTGGAAATAGCTATGTAATGTTTAACTTGGAAAACATAAAATTAAAGTGAGACCTGACAGTTCTCTTAAAATATCTCAAACATTGGGGTGTAAAAGACTTAATCTCTTTTGCTTTAGAAGGCAGGACTAAAACTAATGTAGAAACTTCAGGGAAGTAAATATAAGGGCTGATTTAAGAAAATCTTTTTAAGAGTTGTTTGGAATAAACCAGAGGCTCTGGGATGGGCACCTATGGATCAAAATAAATGTAAGGATAGTCACATCAGGAAAATATACTGTACACGGTAACCAAATAAAAAAAGAAGGCTGAGCACACAAGAAATTTAGGTTCCGTAGTCTGTCTTAAGTAAAAAGTGCTCTGAAATAGTTCTTTAAATAAACAATATGCTTTCAGGGTACAGGAATATACAAAGCTGCACGATGTACTTTCAAGGTCTGTTGCATACAGACCTACCAGCTTCCTCCTTATGTTTGAAAAACGCTGAAGGGAAGACGGAAACATTTATTTTTCGACTTTAATGTTTGCAGAGTCATAGAAGCCAAGACACATCTCACTCAACTAGCACCTTTTAGTATCCAACTTGCTATCTTTAAAAAATAATTGGATGTTCCACAACCACATGTAACATCCATTATCTAGAAGTTAAAAGTACAGTAATGACAAACACCCCCCCCACACACACACAAACCAATAAAGTCTTAAGTACATCAGCACATGACATGACCAGACAGTTCCCTAGTGGGGCCTATCAACAATAGTGGTGCTACTGCTGTACCATCAGTGCAAACTCAGGATCCTGCATCACTCAGGGATCTCCTGATACAGAGCCACAGGCTTTAAAAAGTTGAGCAAAAATATTGCTTGTCCTCATTACTGTCTGATAGGAGGGAAGAAGGAACAGATAATTAATGCTCGAAGAGGAGAGAGAACATACAGCAGAAAAAAATGGAAAAAATAATAATTTGCAAGGACCTTTGCTGTAGTTTTCTCTGCCCTGGTATCTGTCACTATACCTCAGTTTTCTCTGCCCTGGTATCTGTTGTATACTTCAGTTTTCAAGATACTGTAGTATGGTTCTGGGAGCTGCTATTGTAATTTTTCACACTTTGACCTGGAATGACGTTAAGAGTATACTGAGAAATTCATCAATATGTTCCCCAGGAATTAATTAATTAATTAATTAATTAATTAATTAATTAATTAATTAATAGTCTGAAGTTTATACCCCAAGGGAGAAGATTGAACTCAGATTGATGCTTAAATTTTTACACAAAAATCTGTGCAATTTCAACATGCTGAATTACAATCTGATGTATCCAAGTCTCTCTGCTGCATTGTGGGAAAAAAACGTTACACGTTTGCTGATTTGATAAGGCACTGGTAGGGTGCGCTACATTAAGGTTCTCTACCATGAACGTTTTAATTTAATTGAAGAAACAATAGCTTGTGGCATACAACAAATAAGAACATACACAACAAATAAATAGCATCGTTTTAAACATCTTATCAGAAGTGGAGAAAATGTGCAAAAGTGCATAGCCGACAAATAATCAAAGAAAGTGAATTACCTGTAAGTGTCTGTGTAATTTTGCTGACATGGAAATGATATTTGGGAAAATATCCAAATGCATCTAATTGGTGGGTAGGCTTTAAGTTTAACCTCAAGGCAAGTATCTTCTTCTATGCCAACTTCAAAATTTTCCTTTGCATTGGTTATATTGATAAACCCTTTATCTGTTAAATGAGAGATCAACATTATATGGCAGGATTTAGTATTTATTTGAAGGATTTGAACATAAGCAGCTTTGGTATTCCTCAGTTTATAGCAATCAAATGATTATTGAATGGATGGCAGACTTTCATTCTGATAGAGGCACAAATATGAGAATACACTGTAGGCCCTCCTAGATCATGGTTTTTTTTTTATAGTTCAGCTATATGTTTACAAATAGTAGTGGAAGACTAGAGGCTGATCTTTAATGTGATAATATTCCCTTGTTGTACTGTATATTCCTTGGCAACTGAGAGGCAGAGAATAAAGTTATATTCGATTGACAGTTATTAGCCATTAGTTGCCATTTCTTCCTTATAATCATTTAGTTAACTTTTTCCAATAACAATGATATTGAATTATAGTTTTCATAATCATCCAATCAACATGTTCATTCCTACCTTTACTAGAAGGGCTATTTTTAAACACAATATCTTCTGAGTACAAAGTTTTGAAACTAACAGAGTTAGTAAGCCTTGCAATCAGAGCATAACGTGTTCAAACTAATTTGATCAGTAGCTCTTTCTAACTTATCAAAGATTATGTTTTGCAAAAAGCATTTTCTTTCTGTGCAGAAGAAAATAGATTAAAAAATTGCTGGACAATTATATGCATGTTTGAATAGGGCTCAGATTATCTGGAATATAATATAAGTTGAACAACTCCAGTGTAGTAAATTTTCTATTCTCCTATATCAGGGGTGGACAATTTTCCCAAGGGGCCATGTGAAAAACTGGTGCTGTGAAGATGTATAGTTCACCCATGGACTCACATATGTAAATTGAAAAAAAAAAAGCAGTTGCCTTCAAAATAAAAGCAATGCAATTGTATTGCATCCATGATGTACACTTATTTATGTTTGATTTCTAATTTCCAATTGATATCATGCGGGTCAGACAGGGATGATACTGTAAATATCTTGCACATTTGATTGCTTATTTTTCCTCCCCTTTTAGTAAAACCAAATATTCATTTCCATCACGAATAATGACAATTGTTCAAATCTCTATTACAATTGAAATTACCATGGTTAAATCAATAATGTGATTATATGATAAGCCTAAAATGTTTTCTTTTAAATTTTAAGAGACTTGAGGGGTAATGCATGAGGGGTAAGTCTGAGCCACAAGTAATCACAAAATCAATTTTTCAGTTGCCAAGTTCTGATGGAAAAGCAAGGAAATTAGATTCTTCTTTTGCCCAGACTTAGAGGACCTTAACTGGCCAATAACCCTCCCTCTACAAAAAACTTCAAGAGGAAAATTGGCCCACAATCACTGGCATGAACTTACGAGATACAGTATTTGGGGGGGGGAGCATGTGTTTAGCTTCATTGTCAATGTTCTATAGAAAAAAACATATATTTTATCCCATCAATTACCTCTACTGCACAAATCAACATAAGTAAATATGTCTTACCTAAAATTCTAACTACAGCAGTTTTCTTGGCAGCAATTTCTTTAGAAGAGCAAGTATAATTACCATCATTATGGGCTTCCACGGATGACATAAATGCATACAGAGTCTTAACCCAAGATGAACTCAATAACCATCTTCCTTCTAGGATCATATTCTAAATGTTTAAATAAAGATTAGAATGTAAGAGCTAATAGCTTTTATTCAGGGTGGACCTATATAAAGTTTCACCATTGGGGGATACGTTAGTGGTGGAGTTTATTAGAACTATTGTTTTACATATTTTATTACTAGTATGTCCTGAAAGTTACTGAGGATCCATGTTAAGACAAGGTTAGGGTTTGGCCCAAAGAACTTTAGTAATAAATGGTTGATAGCTTGAATAGAAATGAGGAAAGAGATAGATTAGATAGAATAGCCAACACTCCAGAAGACAGGCTTACGACACAGGAGGATCTGGACAGACTTGAACACTGGGCACTATCCAACAAAATGAAATTCAATGGTGAAAAAAGTAAGGTTCTACATTTAGGCAAAAAAAAAACCCCAAATGCACAGGTATAGTATAGGGGGTACCTTGCTCAATAATAGTAACTGTGAGAGGGACCTCGGAGTCCTAGTGGGCAATCACTTAAATATGAGCCAGCAGTGTGCTACATCTGCCAAAAAGGCCAACACAGTGCTAGGCTGCATTAACAGAGGGATAGAATCAAGATCACGTGAAGTATTAATACCACTTTACAATGCCTTGGTAAGGCCACACTTGGAATACTGCATCCAGTTTTGGTCACCACGATGTAAAAAAGATGNTTATTATTATTATTATTATTATTATTATTATTATTATTATTATTATTATTATTATTATTATTATTATTATTATTATTATTATTATTATTATTATATTAGTTGGAACACTACTTCCCCGTGGATCTGGGTGAAAAAATGAGACCCAGTGCTTACATATTTATTTTTATTTCCTAAGGATAGTGGGCAAATTTAAGAAATACATTGGGAAAAATAGAACTTGTTTAAATATATGAAGACCTTCATAGCCAGAACATATCAGTTCTTTCACTGAAATCGGCCCCAATCCAGCCTGATAAAAATTATGAACTTCATCATGTGTTTTGTTCAGAGACATGCACAGGCAAGGGATCGAAAAATGTGATTTCTATTCACAACTAGGGATGTGAATAGATCAACATAAATTCGCCTGATCTTCTGCTTAGCAAATCATATTGTCACTCCAGCAGATTTACACTTGGATTGTAATGAATTATCTAGACATATACTAGCTGGCCAATTTAAGGGTAGGGCAGGGAGACAGGAGATTATTTATTTTGAAAATGAATGGGGTTATTGGTTTTATTTTTATTTATCTTTTATTTAAAAGATAGGCTGCCTAGAAAATGACCAGCACCTGTGCAGCTACTGTTCTGCCTCTGTAATCCCTTTCCTCAGCCAGCATAGCAGGCTTGGCTATAAAAGCAGAATAACCGAGTTGGAAGGGACCCTGGAGGTCTTCTAGTCCAACCCCCTGTTCAAACAGGAAACCCTATACTATTTCAGACAGATGATTGTCCATTCTTCTCTTAAAAGCTTCCAGTGTTGGAGCATTCACAACTTCTGGAAGCCAGTCGTTCCACTGATTAATTATTCTGTCAGGAAATTTCTCCTGAGTTCTAGGTTGGTTCTCTCCTTGATTAGTTTCCATCCATTGAGACAGCTGGAGGTGCTGGTATGCATTCATGTATGGAAATAAAGCAGCTAACGAGATACTTTTCTCTAGCAGTAGGACTCACAAGGTGTAGTAGTTGGAAGAGCAGTAGTAGGTGTAGTAGCAGTGGAGAAGAGTGGAGTGGTGGTGACTAGTGAGTACTAACCTGTGAATGCTTTGTGTGTGTGTGTTTGTGTGTACCTAGAGACCTGTATTGTTGTATTGGCTCTCGTGTTTTTTTTTTTTAAAGAAAATTGTATTGATTTTCTAGTTTTACATTTAAATATTTAAAAAGCAACGTGGCGGCTGAGTTAATCGATAATTCAATAACATATAAGTATCTTTAATACAAATCTCAAATTACTACATTAAATATTTCCTCTCTTTTCCTGTTAGTATTTACTGTCTCATATTCAAACTAATACAATTCTTATTATATTGATTAAATAAAAATAACTTTCTTACATTTATCAATATTTTTTAGTTTATATATATCCTAATTATTTTAACATTCAATCTTTATAGACAATCAATGTCCTAATTAGTTTTTCCCAATTTTTAGTTTCCCATTAATATTTAAATTTAACATTTAATATTTGTAATTTCCAAGTTTTAAATAACCACAGTTCTCTTTATCACAATTCATTGCAAAATCTAATGAGGGGGTCCTTTGTGCTCTCTGAGCTTGGCTGTTTTCTTGCAGACATTTCATTACCCAAACTAGATAGCATCATCAGTACTAGTTAGGAATGGAGTTTGCTCTCAGTTTGAGTAAACTCTCAAACCTAGCAAACAAAGGAACAGTTTAACATTGTAGGGTAGGAAGGGAATTAACCTTTGAGAACAACTCTAATCTAATGTAAAAGGGAGGCTATTGTCATGGTTCCGACAGATGAATCTCTTCAAAAGAACTTTGAGGCATTGTTTTCCTTAAAGAATCTTTTATTCGAGAAACAAAGTATCGGCACTATATAGTTGAAGCCAAAAACTGAATTCCCCTCTCCTGGCACAAAGTAGGAAAGCACAATTCCCTCCTCCAATTAACAGTCATAAATCACATTCCCCAATTAACTTGAAGGGTGAGCTTTCACCCCATCTCTCCTGCCTGCCAAATTTCTATCAACTCTGGACCTAATAACCTTGGGTTCCCACGACTGAGTTATTATTGTTATGAATAGCTGGACTCTCATCCACATTCCCTCTCCCAGCATCAACAACTCTAAAAGCGATAGAGAAAAGATGGCTACATTTCCATTTGTTGTCAAAGCAAGAACATCCGATGTTAGCAGCGTTGACATCTGAACAACTCAAACATTTTGTAAAGTAAGGAGAATGGTTAGTATGTTTCATAACAAATTGAATTTGGTAACTGTTATTATTTGAATTGGAAAGTATGAGAAATGAAATATGCTAAAATCATACATTTTATTTTGTTTAGTGTTCAAAATTGTTAGTAGTAACTGTCACAAGAAAATGAACCATTACCTTTTTTAATTGCTCGTTTCCAAAATGCCACTTATTTCCAAATTGAGAAGTGTTATATTTGGATCTGCATCTTAAGAACAGTGGGTCTCCAACTCTGAGAAAAAGTTCCTGCACAGGGCTTTCAGATGTTCCACTCAGATCTGTATTTTGACCAAACATCATAAACCAAAATGCTGAAATCTTATATAACTTGTATTGCTAATACAAGAGAGGCCTATTTTTCTATGATGAGACATTACAGTTCTTGCAATGTGAAATTGGTGAGTTAGGAGATGCCCGAAGTGAGCTGGATGTTCCATGTGTCTCATAAATGGTAAACTGCCTGCCTGTGATTTCAACGCTAAGTATGTATTTGTGCCCCTCAGTTTAGGTGAGTGGTGTCCAATCTTGACAACATTAAAACTTATGGACTTCAACTCCCAGAATTCCCCAGCCAGCAAAAAAAATCAAGCAAAAAAAATCAATTTAATCTTATTTCCCCAGTTTATACAGATATATATTAGAACATTTAAAAATGCATTGTAACATTTTGCACAAATGCCAGTCTAGTACATACCTTTACAAATGTTACTTATACTATGTTATTTATTTCCAACAAAAGAATTAGGGTTAAAGTCACAGTTAAGTTGCACTGGTATTAAGAGTTGTAGCTAATGTTTGAGTTTATGCAATTGAAACTGGTTATATACTTGTGCTAAAATAGCCATCCAAGCTTACCAGTCTTCCCCAAATGTAATAAATCCAGTTTAAACATCTGGCTGACTTTGGGACCAGCCGTAAATACTTTATGGAATGAAGTACTAAAGGCAGCCCTTTGCCTATGTGCCCATGAGTAGTTCTTTCTATGCTGAAGTTTATTCTTGACCATAGGAATCCAATGGCACAATTAACACAAATTAAGATGTATCCTAAGACAGATACAGTTTGTACTTGAGTATTACCTATTGTATAAAGCTCTGTGCATACTTTCCCCAAGTTATTAGTTGCACAGCACCATACATGCGGTTCAAATAACAAGTCCTCTTTTCTTAAGCGAAGTTGTGCTTTCTCAGTTATCATCAGGTCTCCAGAAACAAATCTGCACCTATAAATCAAAACAGCAATAAGTGAATATAAAGAAAGTACACGATGATGATAATACTGTTTTAAATCATAATCCTCTTCATATCTTTTTAGTATAACAAAAAATATAACAGTGCAAGTAATTATATTCTACCACAGGTAGGAAACTTTATTTTGCTTCCTAAATATAGATTAATTAATTTATCACCCTTTAGGATTGGGAAAAAACTGTATCTGAATATTTTAGTGACATAGGAATTATGCTTCATCACTGAATAGCTGCAGTTGTGTTTCAAGATGCCCATAGTTCAATGAGGTAAATGAGGTTGTGATAACTGCAAAATATATGTTTTATTGTAAACTACTAAGTTTAATATAAACTGAATGATCATCATCAATAATGAAGGGGCTCATATACCAAAGATCTCCATCCACTACGTCAATCATTTGACTAGTAAAGACTCTTAGTTGTTTGAAAGGTTTCATTGGCAGCTGAAAACATCTACAAATTCCTGTAACCTAGCCTGAGCTACACAAATTAAAGCAGGTGTTGTCTGGGCATTTAAATGTATAGCCACATATAAGGGGAAGTTGGTTCAAACATTTCCTGAAACTTAATTCCTAGTTTTCTTACAGTGTAGAAACAATGAGGTTTTTGCTAAAAGCATGATCTTATAGCCATTTTACCTAGCAAGAAATTTTAGGGCAGGAGGATCATTTTGTAATTTGAATGGATAAGTATGGAATTTATCAGAAATAAATTCCATCTGAATACATTCATAAAATTTGCCATAGCATTCTGTCAATTTACTACATGACATCTTCTCTTAGAACAATATCTCAGTCAAGGAACTACCAACTCAAACAGTCAACAACAGCCTGATCAAGAAACCACCAAGAACAGCCACACCAACACTAACAGAACAAGCCATTTATGTATAAACAGAAAGCAAACCCCACTCCCTTCTAATACTGATGATGTAACCTGGTTGGGTGATGAAGCACCTGCAAGAAAACCAAGCTCAGAGAGCACCAAGGGCCCCACAGTTCAACCCTGAGCTACAAATATTTTCTTCTATTAGCATCTTCTGTCAGTGGGAAGAGGTCCAAATATAATGCAAAAATAGAGAGTTCCAGAAAAGAAAAAAGAAAAGAAAAAGTAATAAAAGAAAAGAAAAAGTAACAAAAGAAAAACAATAGTTTGGAGCCACTTACTTGTCATCAGGAACCTGGCAAGGGAGCCATTCAAGAACTGGTGTAGGATGTCCCTCTGATATGCATCTCACACTTTCATCACCGTGTTTTATAAAATATGGCTTTCCTGGGCTTCCTATTGAAATTGATGCAGATAGTGCTTTTTATGTATGTATGCATTTTGAACATGAATTTTAGTCATCTTTCTATTGTGATATTGAAAAAAAATATGCAAAGATTTTGTCCCTGCTATATACATACCAACATTACTAATCTGTTTCCCCCACCCACAAAAAGAGTAGTCTATACAACCATAAGTTGAAGAATTAGACATGTGGATAATTTACTATTCATTAGGGCTAAAGGAATCTAAGACTAAATGCTACTATCTTTGTTTCCATCATGCCCATATACTTCTTGATAAATTGCCTTTTGTTACTTCAACTTCTCAACTTTCACTTTTTGTGGATCTCATCAATTCCATCCAACCATGACTTTCTGGGGCTTCCCCTTGTGTGTATTTGTTTTGTGATACAAATCTCATTTATTCTCTCTATGACCAAACCACAATATATTTCTTTCATGCTGGCTTCTTGCTCCTCCATTTCGTTGATATTCATTCAGCATCTATTAATTCTTGATCCTACCTTTTCTTATTTTACTATTCCCAATGTATGTATGTATGTATGTATGTATGTGTGTGTGTATTTATTTTGCTTCTCCTGTCATTTCTCTAAAACTGTCAAGTTCATTTATTAAACCTGAGATTGCATTACGGCATGTACCTATTTTGGTGTACAGATATGTCTTCTGATATATGTACTTACAGTTCAATTTGCCTAAACTATATTGACCATTCCCACTAAGATAATGCATTTTGTGCATTATTTTCATGCTTATTTTTATGCAAGCCAGTACAATATACTTTTTTAAAAAACAAGAAATGAGAGCTGCTATGAAAAAATTAAAAGAACTGTGAATTCAAATGATAATTAAACTTTAGATTGTATATTGGCTAAAATATACAACATTAGGTAAATTAGTATTTAACATTAATTACATTTCTTCTCTCCAATGCTAAAAGTGCAATTGCTGGCCATGCTTGGGGGGGGGGGAGAAACAGATACTTTTTCTCAATGGAGATAATTGGCTATGTTTAGTCATGCACATTTAATAAAATATGAATAAATATATAAGCTGCAGTATAAACTATATTTGATTAAAGATTTGATCAAATAACCTCCTGAGTAACTAAAGAAGCCAGGAAACTTTTTAATAAACATTTTAGGGCTTCATTGCAATCAGGAACCAATAGATAGCTGTTTCAAACAAAAATCAAGATACTAAGAGATTGACGTTATCTTCCCAGACCAAACTCTTAACTCGAAGCCATGATTTCCGAATGAAATTCATTGAAAACTGTAATTAGCAGGTAGCTTCCTTTGTTTGCCAGCTTGTCCAAAGGTGAATCAAAATACCTAGGCTTGTTGCAAAAAAGGGCATTCACACATTTGAGTATGTGTGTGTGTGTCTGGGGGGGGTGGAGGGAATTGAACTTTGATGTTAAACATTTAGTCCAATTATTTCTATCGAAAACAGAACTGTGTAAGTTTGTTACTATATCCTAATTCTTAGTTCAGCAGACTTCCTCAAACTGCACTCCCAGGTGAATTAGAGGGCCAACTGCTATGTTGGGAAGGAATTGTGGAAGTTGCTGTTCCAACAGATCTGAGAGAGCCTTACAGCACATATTAGATTACTAAGAGTAAACTGTACAGTTTTTATGCTTATTTTATCTAGGTTAACATTTTGGTTTAAAATAATGCCTTGGAAGGTAATGGGGAGTTGGAGCTTAAAGGAAGAGAATCCGTGCATACCCACCCCCCAAACCCATCTCAGTTATCTCAATCATACAATGATTATTTGATGCTAGTTTTTCAGCTAGTGCAATCTGTTCTGCCAAACTCTTTAATAGAAAAATCATCTTGATAGAACTCCTGCATTGCATTTCTTAAATATATTCTTAAATATGACTTCTTGCCCAATTAGCTGACTCTCTTATAATTTTTTTTAAAAGGGGAAACAATGGTAATTTTTAAATAGCCTCATTTTAAAGGTTTTGAAGACATTAAAGTTCCATTAGCTACTATTTTTACACAAGTTACCAATTTGTCAAGTACAAAACAGGGGTGGGGAGGGGAAAACCTATGTTTAGAATTAAGGAACAACATGTTGTTCTTTTGTTTTCAGTACAGAGTTCACTCATACAACAGCACCACTCTCAGTTATCTTCATATTATCAACCTAATTTAACCGGCATGGTAGCTTTCAGCACTGTTGCGGTCAAACCATTGGGAATCAGAAACTCTTGTTGACAGATCACAACTCATTCGGAGAACTACCAGTCAATCCTGTTATTTCAAGAAGTTTAAAAATGTCCCAGAACCACTGCCATGTCAGCTTGATACTTTAAACTTTAGGGAAACATGAATTGACTCAAAGCATTTCAGAGCTTTTCCTTAAGAAGGCTGAAACTGCTCTAGTTTTCAAGTAGTGAGCAGAGTGGAAAAATATCCCACGATAATGGAACTAACATGAAAGGTGGATTATATATATAAAAAAAGGATAAAGCATTCAAGAGCACAGAATCCAAAACATTTTAAAGTTTCAAAGTCCCCCATTCTCTCTTTCCTTTGAATGTTAGTCAGAACAACCCTTATCTGGAAGCTATTTATATATTATCAAGAAAAGGACATGCTTTAATACACCCCATGCCAAAGGGGACGTACTTTTATAGACACCAAAATGTAGAAATTATTGTAATTAAATAGAAATATAATATATGCCATCTTTATAGAGAAGATTATGAGCAAGTGACAGGTTAATAATAATAATAATAATAATAATAATAATAATAATAAAGTTGGAAGGGACCTTAGAGGTCATCTAGTCCAACTCCTTGCTCAGACAGGAAACCTTATACCATTTCAGACAAATGGCTGTCATGTCTCTTCTTAAAAACTTCCAGTGTTGGAACATTCACAGCTTCTGGAGGCAGGTTATTCCACTGATTAATTGTTCTAACTGTCAGAAACAGTTTGTGTACAAGTACTTTTTGGTGCCTAGCTAGGACCTTAAACTTCCTTTACTCCTCTTGAAAGGGTCCAGTCTAAATTTCTAAGGGGTATATTCCAGTATGCCCTTGAGTTCCAAATGTACTATTAAGGAGGGAGGCAGGGCCATCTTAAATTGAAACAGGTACATAGACCTATATCATAGCACATTAGCTGAACTTACTCTTCTTTCCCACAGGTTTGAGTTATTCTTTTTTTTTTTTAAGGACAATTACAAATCAATATAGTATAGACCAATCTCACAAAAACTTCAGTCTCTCAGCTTTTCACAGAGGTGTTCCTAATCATGGGTTCTGAGTATGTACTCAGTGCATTGAGTCAACCTATCAGAGATCTGGAAATCCAATAAGATTAACCTGCTCTACTTTAAGAACATTTGAAGAACAGTAAATTCCTTTTACGAACCAGTGAGATACAGCACTTAACTGTTTCTAAAAACCAAAGAGCACTTATTTTAGCACGCTTCAATGCTCTCCACACAGCAGTTTTTGAGAGTTGATAGAAAAGTCCCCTAACAGCTAAGATTTTGCTTCTGTGGCCAAGGGGCTGTTGAAACAGCAATTCTTGCTATACTGTATCCTAAATAAGGGCTCAAAGACCTACCCTATAACTTATCTGTAAAAAACCCTGGAAATTCTTTTTTATGTTGTTGTTGTCAGATCAGTATGATTTAGTCTCCTTGAACATAGATAAATGTTGCTATACTGCCTGTAAAATTAGGCAGACTTTTATTATCCATTGACAAATCCAGCACCAATTACAAAAATCATTGATATTCACACCCCACATATTCAGATATGTAAATGACAGGTATATCTGCCTGTTCAATCTCCTGCCCAGGAGCTAACTGTAATGGTGGGGACCTACAAAGCTTCTGTTCTCTTTTATTTTAATAAAATCTAGTCCAACCCCCTGCTCAGGCAGGAAACCCTATACCATTTCGGACAAATGGCTGTCCAGTTTCTTCTTGAAAACTTCCAGTGTTGGAGCATTCACCATTTCTGGAGGCAGGTTGTTCCACTGGTTAATTGTTCTAACTGTCAGGAAGTTTCTCCTTAGTTCTAGGTTGCTTCTCTCCTTGATTAGTTTCCACCCGTTGCTTCTTGTCCTGCCTTCAGGAGCTTTGGAAAATAGCTTGACTCCCTCTTCTTTGTGGCAGCCCCTGAGATATTGGAACACTGCTATCATGTCACCCCTCGTCCTTCTCTTCATTAGACTAGACATACCCAATTCCAGCACCTAAATGCTAGAAGTCCAAAAACACTGTTGAAGCCTTTATCCTCAAGAAAGGAAATATGAACAAACAGTGGAAAAAGAAGCTTGTAAATGCAGTGGTAAATTTCATGAATGATGCAGGATGATTAAACAATAAGAAACACTTATGGTAGGACCCTTGGACTGGATAGCTTTTCAAAGGGGAGAGAGTTCTCAGACATCCTTCAAAAGGTTGTATGGCTTCTATTTTTTTAAAGGAGGAATATACCTGTAACTATATAAAAAGTTCCTACAGAAAAATGCATAATAATTACAAAGACTAAAATAAGGATATTCATAACTACAAAGATGATACATTTGGCTGCAACGTATTCTGAAAGATATCAATGAAAAGTTGATAAATATTTTTATATAAACTTAATTATCATCCATTGATTGAGCTTCAAAAAAAATATTCTAGCCATATTAACTCCCATATTTTCCAATATTAACTATAAATTTAATTCTGACTTTTGCTTTCCATTGCTCTGCTATTAATATTTTAGCTATTCTTACTACAATTAATATACAGTACCCTATAAATCTACAAATTCTGTATTTATAAATAACGTTAGAACACCCCAGCAATTGACAACTTGTCCTTTGTTAATCATTGTATGACATTATTCCAAAATAAATTAAAGTTTATATATGATTAAAGTATGAAGAAATCTGCTTTAAATAAAATCTCCAACAATAACATGATAATTAAGATACATTTTATTTAACATATATAGTATTAAATAAATAGCTTTACATGCATTTTTTAAGGTTTGCACTTAAAATGTTAACTGGAGACATGTTCTACTTGTAAAGTGAGACATGAAACCACTTAGCCTCCATGTGTCATACTTACTTCTTATATTTAATGTAAATACTATAGTGTAGTTGTTGGTTTCAGTTGTAATGAACAGTGTGTGATTTCCCCCTTGGGTTTCTTTGATTTGTGGGAACTCCACTGAAATGATATGCCTGTTGAGACAGAAAACAAGACTTCCTTTATGAAATAATTATGAAAAAAACCTTCAGTGTGAGGAAGTAGGCCAAAATGACAAGCAAAAAGGAAACAAAATCTTGCATATGGACCAGATAAACCATTTCATGAATCACCTACAGGATTAGGTTAGCCAGAATGAGGGTTCTTCTCTACTTAGACTTCTATGGAAGTTGTTGAAATCTCCTACAGCTCCAAACCATAGTGGCTTCCTGCTTTTTGCTTCAATACGCAACTTCATGTAGAAAGACCGGCAGTCTGACATAAGCAGTATAGTTCTAATTGCAGGTTAGAACTTAATGAGTCCTACTTCTGTGAATTTTAGCAAATAATTTAAGGTGATTTGTCAGAGTTTGGACACCACATTCCTTAACTCATTTCAAGTTTCTTATTTTATTTACAGTCCATTGGTAGAGCTAATATAGTTGGTGCTTCTCCCTCCCCTCCCTTCCTTTCCATTTTATCTAGCAACTGACCCAGGTTCAACCAATGAACATACTGTAGCTGACTGAGAGATAAATCTGATTCTCTCTATTCCTATCTAGCAGCATCACTTTTAAGATATGATCTTTGAGAAGCTCTCCCAGTGAAATACAGCAATAGGCTAAATGGCATAACTTTATAGTTAAAAGGCATTACTTTTTATTTATAACATTTATGTAGCATCTATCTTCTAACTAATCCCAATCAAAGTTTTATTTATAAATTGGGAAAACATCTAGAGTCGTATAAATATTTTGTGAGAATTCCCCACTTGAATTCTGGAGAAGGAAATTTGACTTCCATTTTCTTCCATTAAGCTTCTGAAACCCTCTTCCAGCCATGCAGCTTTGATGTCAGAGAAGAAAAGGTGCATATGAAACCTGGGAATTAGAATGTTGCATTGAAAGATTAGGTGAGGATTTGGGTCCATGGGAATCCAAAGCTTTCCTGTTCTTCATTTCTGCCCAATCTAATAGGAATTAAGAGATAGTTTACATGCAGCTTGTGCTATACAGTTGCTTGAATAGGAAATTAGGGGTACCTCCTCCTTTTCACTCACTGATGAAGCATAGTGCTCTGCCTTCAATTTTGCTCCGTAAGAATGAATTAGGACAAGTACAGGGAAGAGAGTATTATGAAAAGTTAAGAAGGGTGAATGTTAAGTGCTGAATATTAAAGCTATACGTGAAAGGGAATGATGCAAGAGAATTTTGGACTACAGTACAGTGATTAGTGTTACTTCAAAAGAGGCAAGTAACCATGCAGCTATTCACATCTTTAAAAATTCGAATGACTAAGAAGAAAATTCATGTGCACAAAAAATTGCAATTATTCATTTGAGCTTTTGCTGGAGACTCATGTGAAGTGGAACAAATATTACTTTTTGCTCTTCTTGTTTTTAAATGTGCTTTGTTTGTTCTTTGCTTACCGGTTCTCCAAATCCAGAGAGGAATTACATTTTTTCCGGATCTCTTTAAAAACCCAGTGGCAGACGATGTTCTCTGAAATATTTAATACTGCTTTTAATCTGACATTTTCAAGCACACCAACTTCCACCACTTTTGTTGTTTTGTAGATATTCTCAGTGTTTTGAGTATTCAGGGAACACTGGAGGTCTTCAACATTATCTTGCATCTGCTTTGTAAGAGATAGAAAATACATGTTTACTGTGTTGCACCATTTGTTTACTGTGTTGCACATCTGTCTTGCTTTTAGAGAAACAACATTGAGAGATAGTTTGCATGCAGCTTGTGCTATACAATTCTCTGTAAAAGATCTGGGAAGCTACTACCAATAAAGGTAGCATTTCCCTTCTATCTTTCCCAAATAAATGAGTCCCTTCCCTATCTCTCTTTGTCCTCCCCTCCCCTCATTCACAGAAAGAGATAAAGAGGTTACACATTTTGATTAGGAAATGAAGGCTGAGGACACCTTTTGGGATGAGTGCTGTGAGAAAAAACCCTTGGAGAAGAAATTTTGAAATAGGGTAATAATCTGAATTTGTACCAAGTAATTTCACATGCTTAATTTATTGGAATATACAAACAAATCGAATTACTCCAATTCTAAACTAGAATTGGAGTAAAGGCACCTCTTGCATCTTTTGAATACAACATTGCCGTTACCAGGATACTCAGCCTGGAAAACAGCCAGATCTTAGCCTTCATATTTTGAAAAAATGCTGTCTATCACATTGTGCCTGTTAAGCTGAGCCTTCCTAAAGATTTTTTTTCCGTATGTTTGCCATAGTTTGTAAAAACACAGAAAATGAATATGTAAGCATAATATCACTACGTCTTGAAATAGGAATTATGAAACTACTGTAGCTTTACTACCTTTCAGTTTGGGGCAGTATGGGGTTGATAGATATCAAATTTAAATTATGGAGTGAAAATGTTTCTAGCTTGGTTTGACTTTAAAAACACAAAACCTTCCTGACATATTTTTATTATTAATTTAACAACCTAATTTTGCATGAAAGGAAAACCTTCTTGTAACAGCTGCATTCAGTCATCCAAACTACTTTCTGCCCAATTTAAAGCAATTTAAATCAGTAAGGCAAAAGGCAAAATCAGTGTTGAAATTAGAGGTGCAGTATAGATAGCCCAGGATCCCAAAACCCCTTCAACACCCCTCCTCCCTTGCAAATCTAGGAATCATTCTCAAAACTTCACCAAAATTTGTCACTAAATTGTAATTTATAGTGTGACAGAAAAAGGAAATTATTAAATAAACCAGGAACAGTAATCATGTTACATGCATGCAAGTATTTTAATTTATATTTTAATTAAAGTAAGTAAATTTTTTGATTTTGCTTGAATTCTATTCATCATGGAAGTATAGCTGACAAAGTGTCACTCAAAGCCATGTATGATACTCATTAAGAAAAGGGTTGAGCATACCAAAGTTAAATCAAATTCCTCATTGATATGTCTTAATATACAGTAGTTCCTTGCAATGCTACATCTTTGACTACCACATGATGTAAATATACTACTAGACCTACTACTAATATGAACAAAGAGTCTAGACCAGGGGTGTCAAACTCGCCATGTCACATGACGTGTCACGACGTATCGCGACTTTTTCCCCATTGCCAGAGCTGGGGTGGGCACAGTTTCGGTAGGACACATCTGACCCACAGGCCGGCAGTTTGACACCCCTGGTCTAGAGTGACCAAAAATACTGATTATGCAGTACACACGGGAGATAATGATGAAGGAGATGGCAATAAGGACAAAGGAGTTATAGAGAAGAGCCAAGTCAGGGCATGAGGATAGACAGTTAGCAAAGTATGGCAGAAAGAAATAACAAAAGACTGAAAGAGTTTAGGAAGAGGAACACCTGAAACATGATATAAATGTGGAAGAAAAAAGGAAGGTGTAATTTCTATTTTAGCATGGATAACCAAGCAAAGTATTTCACACAAGCTAAAGAATTTGAAGAGGCAGAGCAAACCTTAATATAGAATAAATTTTAAGATGTAAAATTTATGATTTCCTGAACTACTGTGACTCAGTAGACCAGGCAGTTTTATTTTCAGCAAACAAGAGGAAAAGAACATAAATTTATGGAGGATGAAGTCAAACAACACTTCTGTTCTCTTCCACATGTATTTAGCCATATTAGACCATAGCTAAGATGCTGAATGGAGAGATTCCCAAAGGTGCTTTTTCCAAAAGGCAACTGGACTTTCTTGTGTTTTTTTCTTTTTTTCTTAGAAAATGTTTGCTTCTCATCCAAAAAGCTAAACATTTTCTAAGAAAAAAAAAAGAGTCCAGTTGCCTTTAGGAATAAAGCATCTTTGGGGTGCTTGGAGAGTATAAGTTGGAGATATTCCTGGGAGACATGAAAAAAATATGTTAAGACTTCCAGTTTGTCATTGAGGCCACTGCGGCCGCTGGAAGGCGACCTCCGTCTTCCGCGTTCAATTTCGTTCTGCTGGGGGACCCTGGAAAGGGTCAAAAGTCTCCCTGTAGGGGCAATGAGCAAGGAGGGGACCCCCACTTGATCGCGGGAGGGCAGCAGCCCTTCTGCTTAATCCGGGGCAGCCCTCCAAACAGGCGGAGGAAAGACTGGCCATAGCAATATGGCTCGTCACTAAGTTGCTGACAGCCAAAGTCAAACTTACCATTAAGCACTTCTAAAGCAATGTGGATGAAACTGGGTGAGATCTGATCTTCTCTTTAAGATCTTAAGTATTTTTCTTTTCCTGTAAAAGCTGCCCGAAGTATTTTTTCCCCCTGTGAGGAGAGAGGGAAGGGCATTTCTGCCCCACCCTCTAAGAACAGTGGCAACTGACTATCCAGGGAGTTAAAGCACTATAAGAACAATTTCAATCTAATAGGATTTATATGTTTCTGAAATTTGGGGACCAAATGTTTTCTTATTTTTACTGGAGACTTTTGTTTTTATCTACAAAGAAGAAATAAAACTGGAAAAAGGATTATAAAAATTTTGGACTTAAAAAACCTTAAATGGCATCGGTGACATCTTGTGGTGAAGTATGGTATTACAACTTGTTATTGCCTAAAAGAGACTTGGCTTGAAGCCCAGACTTCAGATAAAACTCTTTCGACCTTGATAGATACCACCTGTGAGAAATTCAGCTGTAAAGAGAATTTCTGAGTGGCATAATTGGCTTGTTTGAACTATGAATGTAAACCTTTACTGACTTTCAGAACTATATGTGGGGAATTGATTTACTATTTCTTTATATGAGAAACATTTGTTATTACATGAGATGATGTAATGGACTATAAAATCTTACTTGACAAACAATTTCTACTATAAAGACTACCTATAATACATGAAATAGAGGTCCCATATCTAGTTATAAAATCACTTTTAACGTCTGATTTTAAAGTCCTCAACCTAATACACTATTAAGAGAATATGGATGAAGACCAGGAAAAGATCCTTTCCATGTTGAAAGCAATACATGAAACCATTCTTTCAGCTTGTGACAAAATAAGATGCAACATAAAAAAACAAGATGCCAGCTTAGATATACAAGCCCAAATTTTGACTACAACCAAAGAACTAACAATACAGAAGATAACAGAAGAAGTGGAACAATCAAATACTAAGACAGAGAACTCAACTGACCAACAAATACAGTTAATGGAAAATCCAGAAAAGGGAGTGACAACACTGAAAATGGAAAAGACTTTCTATATAAATCAGAAGAAATTTGAGGAGAAAGAAGGACAGATTGAATGGAAGATAAATATATCAGGACAATCATGGGAAATTGAAATAATAGGGAGACGATCTAATGAACACAAATGAACTAGCCCTTCCCAAAAAATGGCAACTAAATGGTGTCTCTTATTTCAAATAATATATACACTAATAGAGGGAGATCTATTTGATGATTTAAAAGCACTGACATGGAAAGCTAGTTGGCAAAGGAAGAAAGCCAGAATAAGGCTGAAGAAAATTGGGGCTTTGATTTATTAGAGGGGATTTCATATTACTAATTAGAAGGTTAAAGGGAGAAGTTGAGATAAGGGGAATTTTGCTCATTTAATTTAAAATATTTGGAAATCAGTTAAAAATAAGGATTCTATTTGTTTAATATTTAAAAATTAGACCTAAAGGAAAAATTATGAATATGTTTGATTTATTGATTAACCCAAACAATATATATATAATGGTTTTGATTTATTGAAGGGGATACTGTATTATTAATTAGAAGATTTAATATGGTGGGAAACTTTTAGAAATAGAACAAGACTATACTCAAATACATAAGATGTGTATTTTGAATATTAGATTTTGTTATGAATTGAGATAAGGGAAACTTTGGTTACCTAAAGCCTGGAAATTATAAATATCAAATGCTAAATTTCAATATTGATGGGAAACTAAAAATTGGGGAAAAAACCAATAAAAGGACATTGATTGTCTATAAAGATTGAATGTAAAAATAATTAAAATATATATAAACTAAAAATTTATTGATAAATGTAATAAGGATGTTTTTACTTAGTTGATATAATAAGAACTGTATTAATTTAAATACGAGAGAGTAGATATTAAGGAAAAAAGAGAGGAAATATTTGATGTTGTAACTTGAGATTTGTACTAAAGGTTTTTGTACGTTATTGAATTATTGATTAACCCAGCCACCATGTTGCTTTTCAAATACCTAAATGTAAAATCAGAAAACTAATAAAATATTATTAAAAAAATATGTTAAGAGGGGATAATATCACAAATGGAAAATGGTTTAGACAATAGAGAGACAGTTTGGTGGAGCGGTTAAGGCACCTTGTTAGAAACCTGGAGATGGTGAATTTTAGTCCTGAAGCCAGGTTGGGGACCTGGGGACCTTTGGAAACCATTTTCAAAACTTTGTCAAGAAAACTGCATTGTTTAAGTTGTTTAGCAGTCATTAGGAGTCAACAGTGACTTGAAGAGACACATGTGCATAGAAAAACCTCACTTCAAAATTTTAACCACAGGCATGGAAGTCAGGAAGCAAAAGGGGGCAGTAAGTATTAATAGTGGAATATCACAGGTTTGAAAAAGGGAAGATGAAGATTGCTCAGAAGAAAGACCACAAGACAGAGTGGAAACAGAACAGCTGTCAATGGGGGAAAGATGAAAGAGTGTCAGCCTTACAGTTAAGATGAACTATTTTTGTAACTTGCTTCAATGGCCGAAAAGATAATTGAATGCATAGTTTATGATAGGACTTCATAAACTATGATTATACTTCAAAGGTCAGCACTCCAGACAGCTGCCTGATTATAAAACCAGTTCAGGCTCACAGAATTAAATATCTGGACAAAAATGAAATTCCTTATTATAAAGATAAAATAAAACCCTGACATCCAGTTTTATAATACTTTGACAGGTAGTAGCAACAGCCATCATTGTTTGAGCTTCATTCACAGAAAAAGAGTAGTGAAAAGGAATGAGAAAGGGAAAATGCAAAACCATGTTTATAAGTTAGCAAAGAAATAAGTACTTTGAAAGAGATCTCAGTTCCATAGATGGTCATTATGTAAATGTAAATTATGTTAATGGCTTCAAAGCCAACAAGCATCCCACCAAGTATCAATTCACTTGGAAGGGAAGATGAAGCCTCTCATATTAAATTCTTCAATGTTTCTGAAATTTTTACATTAGCAATGGGTAATCAACTATTGTGTATGACTTCATTCTTGTCTGTAGTAAAGATTCAAATCTAACTGGGTCCTGCCCAGATGTTTTCAACCAAATCTAATTGCAGAGTAAAAAATATGCCGTGAAAAGAAGCCTGGGATTTACTCTAAACCCAGGTGGTGAAGCCAGACAATTTGAGTATTTGTTCATTACACCAATGCTTAAGAATCAAGAGTTAGCACAGTAGCAATTGTCTCTCTGGCAATCCCTTAATCATTGGTCTCAACACCTTCTGTGTTAGAGCCATGGGCAAGCCAGAAAGGCCAGCCGAAGAAAAAGAATCTACTGATGGCAAATGGTTCTGGTATATACAGTGAAAAATTGTATGGAGCTGGTATTTGTGGAATTGAAATTGAAACTGAAATTGCTTTGGTGGGTTTGGAAGCCAGAAGACACAGAGAGAAACGCTGGTGACAGAAGGAGACATCATCCAAAACATTTTAAAACAGCATTTCTCTACCTAAGCCTCAAGAAGGTAGAGTCCACATCCAACGTAGTAATGCAAAGAATTCTGATTACAGGGTAGTCCTTGACTTACAACTATTAGTTTAGTGACTGTTTGAAGTTACAATGGCCTTAAAAAAATCTGACTTATGACCAGTTTGACTACTTACAACCATTATAGCAGCCTCATGGTCACAACTCAGGTGCTTGGCAACTGGTATGTATTTATGACACTGTCCTAACATGACCCTGTTGCATTGTCCTGGGGTCATGTGATCACCATTTGTAATCTTCCCAGCAGGCTTCCAACAAGCAAAGTCAACGAGAGAGGCCAGATTCACTTAACAACATGATTCAGTTAACAACTGCAGCGATTTGCTTAGCAACTGTGGCAAAAGGTTGTAAAATAGGGCAAAACTTACTTAACAACTGCCTCACTTAGCAACGGAAATGTTGGGCTCAATTGTGGTCGTAAATTGAGGATTGTATTTCATCTGGGAGAGGTGCAGGAAAAGGCAATGAAAATTTTGAAGGACTGGATAATCCTCACAATGAATAAAAATTGAAAGTTAGCTTACTGAACAATTGACTGAGTGGGTGAAGAAGATATGTATTCTATGGAGAAAGTGGAGAGGAAGAAGACGTACACTTTGCTCATAATGCTAGAAACCAGGATCAATGAAACACATGTCCAACACACATGAAAGCAGGAAGGAATGTCTGTAATTAATGAATGGAAATCATATAAGATTTCCATTCATTAATTACAGACATTCCTTACAATGCCCAATAGATAGCTTTAATTGGGGCTTAAACTTGTTTCACACTGTATAATACAATAGTTCTTTAAGTGGCTAACAACTTTGGTTGAGAACGTTATATTATATTCCATAACAGAGACACTCTGTCTTCAGTATCAGATGATGGAGAACTCAAAACAGGAAAATGCTACTGAGCTCATTCTGTGGCACAGAATTATAGACCAAATGGGCATTTGGTCCAATTGAGTATTTTTATATTCTTGTTTTCCTTTACCTTGAGAGAAGGCGAAGACTCCCAATTTCTTGAAGCATTGTTGTGTTGCTTGATTAAAAAGCAAGTTATCTCAAATGTAGTTTGGCTTATCACACCAGTGGATGTCACTGTAAGAATCAGAGCTGCCAAAAAGGAAAACAAAAAATGTAGAGTGAAATCAAAATGTAAATGTGCTGAATATTTTTTTTTCATCCCACTGTCTCTTTTTCCATTCAATTGTACCTCTCAACTAGTAAGTTCCTTGCTAAGTAAAATAGAACATAAAACATAGAATAATAGGGATGGAAGGGATCTTGGAGGTCTTCTAGTTAACCCCCTTGCTCAAGAAGGAGACCCTATACCATTCTGGACAAATGGCTGTCCAGTCTCTTCTTGAAAATCTCCAGTGATGTAAGGAGGTAAGCCATTCCACTGATTAATTGTTCTCAATGTCAGGACATTTCTCCTTAGTTCCAGGTTGGATCTGTCTTTAACGAGTTTCTATCCACTACTTCTTGTCCTGCCCTCAGGTACTTTGGTCAACTCCCTGTTCTCTGTGACAACCCATCAAGTACTAGAAGACTGCTTTCATATCTCCCCTATTCCTTCTTTCTGTTAAATTAGGCATACCTAATTCCCTCAATTACTCATCATATGGTTTAGCTTCCAGACCCCTTATCTTTTTGTTATTCTCTGCCCTCTTTCTAGAGTCTCAATATCTTTTCTGTATTGTGATGACCAGAACAGTGTTCAAGTCTGTCAAGATGCTTCTGAATCTTGAGTCTATTTTTAAATGTTAGCTATTCCCCCCAGCTTAGTGTTATCTGCAAATCTGATGAGTTCCCCTTCTATCCCCTCATCTAGATTATTTAGGAAGATGCTGAAGATTACTGGGTCATCTATATATCTCTATCGCTATCATCTCTCTAATGTTACTCACTTAAATATAGATGCCCCAAATATCAATTCTATTTTGTGTTTGCAATAGTGGCGAATATCTGTAGCTCGGGTATAGGATGAGGGTGAAGGTTTGTTCTCTGAGCTTGTGGGTTGGTTTCTGAACGTTTTATTACCAGGCTAGGTGACATCTTCAGCTGAGTTTAGGGGCTGTCAGTGATACTGACATCCCCTAAACTCAGCTGAAGATGTTACCTAGCCTGGTAACAAAACATTCAGAAACCAATCCACAAACTCTCAGAATGAACCTTCACCCTCATCCTATTTTGTATATTGGCCACTGGGTGAAGTGGAATTTAGCATTTTGGAAATGTCTCCTTGGTTGGCAAGGATCAAAGCCAGAATAAATGGAAAACTTGTCCATTTCTTAAGATAGAATATGTATATAATATGGTGTTTCAGCCTGGATGAATGAAATAGACGGATCAGTGTTGAAGCAGTAGATGCAATAAAAGATAAGCCAGCCTTCACTGTGAATATAAAACACAGAAATTAAGCTAAGAGTAAAGAAAGGCACTACAAACACAAAGCACAATGAATAGAGGAACAATTCAGTTTTAAACATTCAAGTCTCTTTTCCAGGCAGTATTTTGTTAATCTTTATGGTCAAAATTAAAATGAGATGCAGAGGAATATAAAAATATTGGGAAGTTAGTTTTTTAGCTGAAGGTAATTGAAATATAGCAGCAAAGCTAGAAGCCAAATTTTAGCAACAGAAGAGGAAGGTAGATAACAAGGAGAATAATAAAATTGGAGATTGTATTCACATAAGTGAAAATTAAAATTGGGTAAACAGAAAATAGAATTAAGAGTAGCGTAGCCCACTAAGAAACTTTAGACTACAAATTCTACCATCCTTGATCATTAATAGTACTGCTAGATAGATAGAAATTGTACTGTGAAAAATTTGGAGGCTACCACTTTGCAGAAGGCTAAGAGAATTTATGAACTGAAGAAAGATATAGAAGAAAAATGAAATTAAGAATAATATACCAGTAGTAGATAAGGATAGAGAACAGACTGTTAAGAATGAATTTTAAAAAACCATGAAATCAAAGAAAATAAGAATAGGATTAAGTAGAAAAGTGTTCCAATATTTGAGGGGCTGCTACAAAGAAGAGGGGGTCAACCTATTTTCCAAAGCACCTGAAGGCAGGACAAGAAGCAATTATGGATGGAAACTTATCAAGGAAAGAACCAACCTAGAACTAAGGAGAAATTTCCTGACAATTAGAACAATTAATCAGTGGAACAACTTGCCTCCAGAAGTTGTGGGATTTTACAACACAGGAGGTTTTTAAAGAAGAGATTGGTTAACCATTTGTCTGAAATGGTACAGTGTTTCCTGCCAGAGCAGGGGGTGGACTAGAAGATCTCCAAGGTCCCTTCCAACTCTGTTATTCTGTTATTCTGTTTTTGTCTCACAAATGGAAGGAAAGTTGAATGACAAATAAGAATGGAAAATGGCTAGTGTTGTCAAAAAACAAGCACAAAATGATGGTACATTCCTGAACTAATCTTTCTTTCCAGTATGCAAGACTGCAGGTGTGGTTGCCAATATTAGACCTGCTTGAGAACAGATATAAATAAAAATAGTCCCCAAAGGATTATCTAGTATAGGACTAAAACTAGACAACACTTTAAAAAATAGGGAATGCATTTGTTTAACATGGCATAGAACAGTCTTTAAACCAGACGTTGTATGGGATAAAAGAGGCTGATAATTGTAAAAAAATGAAAGCTAGAAAACAATAAAAAGGATCGTTGTACAGTAAAAAGAGATAAAGAAAGGTGTCTAAAAGTGCCTTTTCATTTACTTTAACTGACATGGGCATCTTTATTCTCCTTTTAATTTTTCTAATTCTACAATGAAATGAATCTCAGAGAGTTTCAGATTAACTATGAATTGCTAGCTATGAATCCCAGAAGTTTTAGTACATGTACTTCTATCTAACTCAGGCTGTCAAACTGCTGGTCTGCGGGCCGGATGCATCATAGCGAAACCGTGCCCACCCCATTGCCGGCAATGGCAAAAAAGTCACGATACGTCGTGACACATCACGTGACGTTGCGAGTTTGACACCCCTGACCTAACTCAACCTCCACCTGGCCTGAGAAGACAGGGATCCAAATGTGCCCTGAATTTATTTGAGTTCTGATGCTGAATAAACATTTAGTTCAAAGTCGGGATTAATAGTGTTTATGTTTTCAGAGATGCGGCTGTCAGCTCCTTTTTTTTTGGTGTTATTATTATAGAATGTTAGATGAGATTTCACCAACAATATCCACCACTGAATAATGCATTAATTCTAATAATTGAGGTTGATTCTGAATTACAAAACTATGGCTGAAGAATCTGGGTTAAGTTTTGGATTGGAGACTTGGGGAACCTGAAAGTTTACATATCATTTTTGTGACATTTTCATTGGGTCTTAATAATGATTTTATTCAATTTTAGATTTGGGGGTCTTTTTTCATGGACTTAACAAAGCTACAATTTTATTACTAGGAACAATGTAATTCTGGCCACTAATATAGTATATAGAGGTTGACTTAAAAGGTAATACCTTTTGTATAATAATAATAATAATAATAATAATAATAATAATAATAATAATAATAATAATAATAATAATAATAATAATAATAATAATAGTAATAATGATAAAGTTGGAAGGGACCTTGGAGGTCATCTAGTCCAACCCCCTGCTCAGGCAGGAAACAGACTTCATACAGATAAACAATTGAGAAATAGCACTTCTTTTAAAAAGAAGTGTTAATTGGTGGACCTTTCTCATATTAACTGGTCAAGAGTTCAAAGCTCAAATTCATGTTAGGAAAAACAATGCTCAGAGTAGCTCAATAACTGAATCAATCACTAAACTTGAGAATACACAGCAACAGCAAAAAACTAGCAGTATATATTCATAACAGAAGATGAACAAATTCAACTAAAATAGCTATTATATTATATTATTATTATATATATTACACAGCAACACAAACTTAAGGCAATTAAATACAAGTTCTAAGGGAAAAAAATAGATAAAAAACCAGACAAATTAGAAATGCTTGCAAACATATTGATTGTAATTTACATTTTGAGGTACAATGGGAAGAAAGGATATAATTCACAAGCAAGTGGATTCTTAATAATGTTTTTATGATTTTTTTTCTCCTTTTCTTTTTTGTATATTAAAAATATACAAAAAATATTTAAATTATTTTAAAAATAATGTATTGCACTTTGTGATTTTATTCACAATTTTATTGTTTTTGACAACTATATTTTGCATTGAGTTTAATAGTTTTTTTTAGGAATTGAAATGATAGAATATATTCAGTTAGTCCTAATCATTTATTGGAATATTAGAAAATTACAAAAAACACATTTGTAAATCCCTTGTTTATGTGTCTGACTTTATTCCTTCCCTCTTTTTTACTTTCCTTCTGTTTATATATTTCCATACATACCAGTATTGGGAAGTGATGGGATTTCCTGCTTTGTAGATTCAAAGAGAAGCTAAAAAGTGGCTTGCCAGTTATTATTACACTAAGCAAAGTCTGTTGGCATCCAGTGAATATTGGTTTATCTCAAAAAAGCTAAGCAGTACTTGACTCAGTTAATATTTGAGTGAGACAAGACACCACCCTGAAATTCCAGATTGTAAACTAAACTGAGAAGTAAAAAACATAAAAGAAGAAGAAGAAGAAGGAAGGGGAAAAAAATCCTGGAAGAAAGCAACGAATAACTGCTTCTATACAGTACTTCGTGCTTCTATTCCTAGTACTTCTATACTATTGACAAACACCCCCCCCCATCTCTGTACATATTCATATACAGTAGTTATCGGGAGTCCGGTTAAACCTGAAGGTTTATCAGTTAGGCAAAGAACTGTGAAAAAAGACCTTCCAACTGTATGATGGTAAGACTCACAATGAGCTTTAACCATGAAACAATCATTGTATTATGGCCGAGATCAACATTGCACTAATTTGTTTCGTCTTTGCACACTCAAGCCATTGTGGTTTGTAAACCATCAACTGTACCTTGTTATGATGTATGAACCCAGCTTATTTCATACGATATGCTAAATAAAAAAAACATGATTTACAAAGCACACTGTCATAGTTCACACAAACACAAAATCCCAATGCGTTATGCACTCACAAC